GTCCTGGAATCGAGCGCTGATTCCACCACGACTACTGTGTAAACTTGGGCAGATTTACTCACGCCCTTTGAGCCCTGGCTCCCTCATCTGTCCAGTAGGGATATTGGACCCACATCCCAAAACCGTGGTGAGGAGTAATGAAATCTCTCATGTAATATGCCTGGCACATAATTGTTAACAAAGAGCAGCTGTTATTATTGTATGATGTCATCTTCTTCCAGCTCCCCAACCCCTGTGAGCCCTTTAAATGCTCTATCCCCAGGGTTCATCTTTTTTTTTTAATAATATATTTTTTATTGATTTCAGAGAGGAAAGGAGAGGAAGAGAGAGAAACATCAATGGTAAGAGAATCATTGATCAGCTGCTTCCTGCACGCCCTCTACTGGGGATTGAGTCCAAAACTTGGATCAAACCTGGGACCTTTCAGTCCACAGGCCAACACTCTATCCACTGAGCCAAACTGGCTAGGCCCCAGGGCTCATCTTTGATTCTCTTAACAACTCTAACAATTCATCCAGGGCCATGGGTGGGTTTTATTTTTTGAATTTCTACAACCATGCATTGATTAACCTGAAATTTCTATCTATAGACCACATCTCTCCCTGGACCTACTGGCAGGCCTCCAAAATAAGATGGGAAGTTTTCTGGGAATTATGGAGGGAGCAGGCTGGAGGCAAAGAGGCTCCGAGGGCAAGGCCATGAATCCACTAGAGGTCAGGGCCAGCCTGGAGCAACAGGGGAAGAGCAGATGCTGACCAAGCTACCGAATCCCTGCTGGCCCAGCAAACCTCCTGAACAGGAAAGAAAGCACCGCTCAGTTTATGCTCCTTGAGGCTGTCTCATGCCCTTTTCATCCATAACGATCATATGCTCAATAATCAGTAAGTATTATTATTATTCTCTGCGGTGAGATTTCCAAAGGCTGAAATAGTGAAGACCCTCAGCAGAGGACTGGGAGAAGGCAGGGCATGGTCAGTACAAAACAGCAAAAAGGACTGCAATTTTTGAGTTAGATTCAGAACAAGAAGAAGAACAAGGAAGGGATGGGTTCACTTTCCAGAGAAGATGGTAGAACGTTAACCAAGAGAGATGACGGAATTACTCAACCCTCAGTAGAAGTCTATTGTTAACAAAATAATCTTCAAATTGTGAAAATAAAATAAGCATAGTTTGGAAAGGAAATGGAAGCTCGGTAACAAAGAAGGAGAGTCAGTGAGCAAAGTTAACTCTTGTGTCGAGGCTCAAAAATGACATCAGAGGACAGTCAAATAACTTGCAGATGTGATCAGCGTCTGTAATCTTGAGAACTCGGAAGGAAAGCTTTCCCAACTTCAGAAGGAGGGTACGTGATGTGTGCTTGTGTGCTGGGAACAGGGGTTGGGAGTGAATTCTGGGAATTGCAAACCACTGAGCTGAATGTCAATCCCAATTAAATAGACGGTCTGTGACCATTGAGAAAAGAAACACTTGCTTACCAGGAGCCAATTCACTTGAAACAAGGCGTGTCACAAATTTCACTTCCATTTTTAAAAGGGGTTTTACTGACAAGGGGAATCAGTGGACTTGTTTGGGAAGGCAGCCCATCCACATAATAAGGATTTATTAACCACTTCCTGTGACAGGGATATACATATGACGAAGGTGTGATTTCAGAAATAGCTCACATCCCGGTGAACTAGGGGGTGACCTGTGGCTGGAGGGCAATGATGTTAAATGGGGTCACAGCAGGTAAAATAGCTCTGCCCAGAGCCTGCCCATTAATGGGTCAAGGTCAGTTCAGAGGGAGATCTTAACTCTGCTTTGATTCATGTCCTCTTCAACAATTTGATCAAAGACCAGGTTCTAAAGACCCAGAAGCCATGCATATCAGAACCAAAGGGATGGCCACCTGCTAGAGGGTGCAGTTTTGCTTCAAAGTGATCTTGAATGCTGTTGGGACAAACAATGTCACCATGTTCCAACCCAGGAAAATAAAGTCTTAGAACTGACTCTTGGGAGCAATAAAAATACAAAGGCAATGAAGCTCCTGAGTTCGGTGAGAAGTCTATACTCCATGTGAAAAGCCTGTGAATGGATCTCAGAAACACTAAGAAAAGTGCCTGGCACATAGTAGGTGCTATCTGGGAGCTAGCCTTTGTTTATAAGCACTGGTGGAAGCCCCTCCTCACTGTCGTGCTGCGTCATTCTCGTAGGGTGGATGGGTTTATGATCCCCATGCAGGTCTCTCCCAGCCACACTGACTATGGGCTCCCACTCTGCGGTCCCGGCAGAAGAGGGGGTGCTCAGTTACCTTCTCCCCAGGTGTGACGGAGATGCGCCATACACAGTGCATGTGGGCGGAGTAGCCATTGGGGTACTCAGGAGAGGAGAAGTTGCCTGTGCTGTCTTGTAGGGTCTCTCCGCAGGCTGTCAAGGAAAGGAAATAATTGAGTGGCTGGCTGCAGGGGCCCAATCCCCCTGAACTTCTGGCTTCCCCACCCTGAGCCCTGGCATCTTTGTAGGAGAGGAAAAGAGCTCAGGAGTGGGGAGTCTGGGATGGTCCTGTCCCTTTAAGACCCAGCTCTTTCTCCTCAACAGATAAGCTCACACCATCCTACCTCCCTGCCTAGTGCTGCAGGATGTCCTGTTGTCAAGGCAACAGGTTCCAGAGTTAAGGTCAGGCTCCTTTGGTGAGCCTCACTCGTCCTCACTCCCTGAGAATTGCTCTGCTCTCTCCATTTGCTGCTCCTGGTGCCCCCCACCACCCCCGCACCAGATCCTCAGAAGGTAGATGGCTCAGTGTTTCACCATCACCTGATCCTAGCGCCAGTTTGGTCCATAACTTGAATACTACCCCTCCCAGGGGGCCCTTCCACCAAGCAGTCTCAGTGTTCTCTAAGGCTCTCAGCTTTAACTTCCTTGGTTCCAGGTTCTGGTCTCTGCCTGCCTAGGGCCCTGCCCTCCGCTCCTTTCCGGCTCATCCCTCCCTGCCCCGACCTGGACACTTGTAGAGCTTGCGAGCCTGGGCGATGTCCCCCTTGCTGAGCCGGGTCCTTTGGCCGATGGGAGGTTTCACTCCATTCACCTCGTACTTGGGAACAATGGTGTCCAGGAAGATGCCCCTGAGGAGGACAAGCCCGACCTGGGTGAGAATCTGATGGAAGGAGGGGTGGCATGTCTGGGTGCACCCAAGGTCATGACCCTGCCAGAGCCCAGACATTCCTCAGCAGGGTCAGGGACGGGTGGAGACATCTCACCCTGTCATTATGCTGCCCACTGACCAGCAGCCACCCTGCTCCGTGGCAGCCACACCACAGGAGCCTGGGGGAGCCCCAGGAACACTTTGGGAGGTCAGGACACAGGCCCAGGATGCCCTGGGGACCTACTGGTGCCAAGCTCAGTCTGGCCCCGACTCCAAGCACCAGGAGCGCTGTGGATGTGCCTCCAGCCCCGGCTTCTGCAGCCCCTGGGCCGATTCAGCCCTGGCTGCCCTTCTCCCAGGATGACCCAGTGCCAACGCTTTACCCTGTTGGCACAGCTGCTCTGACAGCACCTGGGACAAGGCCAAAGGGCAGGTTCCACCGTGGCCAGAACAGACCCTGGGGACAGCCCCACCATCAGTCCTCCTGTCCTCCTAGTTCCTGCCTTCAAAAGCCTGGGTGTTTCCATCTGGGAGGAGGGGAAGCAGGCAGCCCTTCACCTCCCCAGGGCCCCTGACTCACACCAGCTGGGTGGGACTCAGCAGGAGGTGGAGAGGGATGTGGTGAGAAATGTATGGGGGGGCGGGGGGCTGTGGGCGTGGGGGACAGGATGACCTCACCACCCTTCCTCGGTCTCTGTCCCTCAGGTCTGGAGGCAGGAAGACTGGGTCAGAAGGAGAGCTGAGGACAGGGGGGAGGACTGCTGTCTGGGACAGAGCCGGAGGGGGGGCAGATAGAGGATGAGGGATGAGGAAAGCCAGGCCTGGGAAAGGCCAGGCAGGAAGGAGTGTGAGGAGGATGAGGGTCGGTTCCCACACAGGCTAATGAGAAGCTGGGTGGGGATGACTGGCCCTTTGGGTTCTAGCAGTGACTTTGGGAACCTGGGCCCGGGATAGGAGTAGGTGTATATGTGCTTGTCAGGTGGTGAGGGGGCTGGTCCAGGGCAGGAGCTGGCCTTTGCACAAGTTAGCCAATTACAAAAAAGGCAGACAGATCAGAAAAATATGCCCCCCTCTGGTCTTCAGCAGAGGGGTAACCCAGCTCCTTTGGGCGGACACAGTTCTGGGCCACAGCGCACCACCGCTGGCAGAGTAGCTGGATTTCAGCCCCATGGGCCAGGTGCCCTCGGTGTGCACAGCTCTAGGTGAAGCACCCAGGCTGTGTGAGTCCCGGCCCTGCCATGGGCCCAGGGTAGAAGAGGACAGCAGGCCAGGCAGCACCCATGGGTCCTCTGCTTGGGGGCTACAGCTGCCCAGGGCCCACTCTTGTCCTTGCTTACAACCCCAGTGGGGCAGTCTGGTGCAAAGTGGGAGGCCCCAGAGGGCAGGATAGTCTCTCACCTGGAGAATGTGTTGCGGGCATAGTGCATGATACTGTCAAAATCGTAGGTCTCCCCCAGGGACTCTACCTCTTGGACCTCCATCTTCAGGAAGTTATACTCCTGCCCTGAGAAAACCACGAAAAGGGGGTGGGGGTGGGAGGAGGTAGATCTGTGTGGGACACAGGGTGGGAAATGGGGTCCTCCCTGTACTTGCGAGGTACCCCGCTACCTGAGGGTCCTGGGAGCAGCCAAGGAAAGCCTGGGGGAGGGGCAGTCTCTAGAAGAATGTCCACAGAGGGGCGGGGTGAAGGAGGACTTGCTGCAGGGAAGGCTCAGGGAGGATGGGAAGGAAGCACCCATTTCTAGAACCACAGCAAGATGAAAGCAGTGAAGAGCGGAGGAGGCTGGGAGAGAGGGCGGAACAGGAAGGGAGGAAAGAGCACAGCTAGGAGGAGGGAGAGGGAAAAACCCTTGGAGGGCAGAAGAGGCGAAGAGCAGAAGACTGGGCAAAAGTGAAGCGAAAGACTCAGCATGGGAGTGGGCTGACCCCTCCCCCAACCCCACCCTGAGGGCCAGCTGGGTTCTGGCTGCTGCGGATGGTTCCTGTGTCGGGGATCTGGGCCTGTGGTGGGGGTGGGGGTGCCCAAAGTGGCTCCACGACTGATCTGTGGTCCCTGAGCTGCTACTGGCTGGAGCAGATGCCTCAGGGCGGGGTCTGGGCCAACCTGGGCCCTAGGCTGGGCTGGGACTACAGGCTGAGTTGATCAAAGGTGATGGCTAGAGGGAGCAGCTGCCACCCCCAGCAGGGGCCCTGGAGAGGGGGCATGGGCAGGAGCCACGGCGTCCCGCCTCCTACCCCACCCCCCAGGTCGAAGTGCATACCTGGCTGGATGTTCTCGCGCACGATGGAGACGTGGCGGTCCCGGTCGGGCCGTGTGTGCTCGTGCCAGAAGCCGATGACGTGGCCCAGCTCATGCACCACGATTCCAAACTTGTCACAGTTCTTGCCGATGGAGATGGCCTGCGGGCCCCCACCACGGCGACCCACGTAGGAGCAGCACCTGGAGGGCGGGGCCAGCTCAGGGGGGCGGTCCCGAGCTGGGGGAGTGCATACGGGGCTGGGGTCTGCTCGGGATGTGTGCCGGCGTCACAGCCACATCCTGGGGAGCGTTTCTGGGGAGATGCCTCAAGGCAGGAGGGAACGTTGACGCAGATCTGTGCGCAGGTGGGGCAGCTGCAGTGCCCAGGGCAGAACAGGGGTTGGGGCATGGCCGAGGGTACACTGCCCAGGGGCCCCTGCTCACCCGCAGGGACGATAGGTGAATACAATGTAGCTGTCCTCATCGGTGCGCTCCAGGAAGGTAACACAGGTGTGCTTCTCCCAGTGCCGCATGGCCTGCCGGAAGACTGCCCTCTGGCTGCCTGCGGGACAGAGGCGGCCAGGCTGCCACACTGTCCAGGTGGGCCTGCCTCCACCCACTGCTCAAGAGTTCCCGCCGGATGGGCTGCTCACCAGTGAAGTTTCCCCCAATGACAAAGGGGATGACCCCATCAGGCCACACGCGCTCGGGTCTGGACGTCGCCGCCCGCCGGCTCCGGGACCTGCTTCTCCACCTGCCCGGGCTTCTCCTCCGAGGCTGCCCCTTAGCCTGCTGGCAGCTGAGGGTAGAGGAGTTTCCTGGAATTGAAATAATAAAACATTGGTAGCAAGTGAGTGAAGGGGGTGAAGGGGAAAGAAATTACAATCATTCTTCATTTGGGGGGGATTCCAGATTTACCCATCCACTACCATTTATTTGTAGCCCCAAAATCAGTACCCTTTAACTCTTTCTTTTTTCTAAGAGTTGAGACAATTTGAAATTTAACTTAAAACCGAGTTTAATTGTAGAGAGTTACTCACCATTTAGGCCACATCTAAATTTAATAACTAATACTTTATACTTATTTCATAGATTAAGGTTCAGTGTTTTCATTTTATTTGCCATGTCTAGGGTTAAACATTTATTACATGCCCCTCCCTTTTTTTAAAGTTACTCAGTTTTCAAAATATGTAACTGAGAGTCTACTAAAAGCAAAGCACTGTATTAGATTATTAGGGTGATTCAAATATGACCAAGATTTTGATCTTGTCATTAGGGAGTGTGCAATACACTGGTTGGTAGGAGAAGTGTGACAGGCACTCAGGTAATTCCAGAACAAGTTAGAAGATGTAAAAACCAGTCTCAACGTGGCTTCTTCTGTGTACCCGTAGTTCCCTCTGCTCTTTCATGGTCGCCTGCTGACATGCACAGGGCAGTGAAAAATCTGAGTCACTCAACACGCACCTTCCCAGTTGAGGTCCTACAAGATGGTGAACAAGTATGTTTCCCCGTCTACTTAGTGCCATGTTTTTGGCATTTCTGCGCTTTTTCTGTTGGTGATTTTGCTGTATAAAAGGCTGCACTTTCCCCACTGCACTGAAGTGCTGTCTGCTGTTCATATGTACAAGAGGCTGGTGATGTGTCTTATGGAGAAAATACATGTCTCAGATAAGCTTCAGTCAGGCATGAGTCATGGTGCTGTTGGCCATGAGTTCAATGTCGATGAATCAGCTGTATATTAAAAGGGTGTCTCTAAACAGAAACACACATAAGACAGGGCTACATGTATTGGTAAGTTATGAAAATTTTGTGACCACAGGCTCACGGGAACTTAACTGTATTTCTCTTAGTGTTCGCTAATTCAGTGTTCAAAGTGACTGAATAGAGTGACTATAAAGTTATTCCATAACTTCATGCAGAGCTACCATGCATAGTGAGGGTTGACTGTAATGAAAAAAGGGAACAATGGGGACCTGAGACTGGAAAATGTTCCCTCTCGTCCAATAAACCTTCATGTTTGTGGCACATATAGAACTTGATACATTCTTGTATATTTCCAAGTACACATTCTCATTGGACACCGTAGCTCTCTGGGATGGACAGGGAATGTCACTATCTACCTTTGACAGATGAGGAAACTAAGGCCAAAGTCACGTGATGGGTTAGTGGCAGCCTAGGTGATCTAGCTCCTCCATTCTGCTCTCAGGTACTCAGGTAATTCCGGTCTATTAGTTCCCACTAAGGTCGAGTAAGACTTGCTAGTTACCAGGTCATCCTCCAATGCCAGCTGCTCTCTGGGGTAGTTTGATTTTCACTCCATGAGCTGCCCATGCAAGGGCAGCTGGACAAGACAACTGCCTGGCACCACCAGAGTGTGCCCAGAACAGGCTCCAGGTGAGCATCCGTACCCTTTGGTAATAGGAGAGCGACCGTGCTGCAGGGCAGTGAGGAGGTTGGACAGAAGTGAGCTATCCCAGGCCTCATCCTTCCCATTCCCTCACCCATTCACAAGTACCAGGTGGGTTGTTAGGTGTTTGGACCACATCCTGGGATAAGAAGGACCCATCCTTGACCTTGAATAGCTTTGAGTCCAGCTGGGAAGACAGGTACATAAACAAATTGTTGCAATGTAGAGCAGTAAGTGAGATGCTAACAATGTAAGCGCAGAGCAGAGAGAGCATGGAAAGTGGAGGCACAGTCATGTCTGGGGGGCCGAGAGGGGGCGATCAGGGAAGTTTTCACAAGAGAAACTCTTACAATGGGACTTGGAAGAGGCAAGAAGCTTGCAAAGTGGGAGCAAGAGGAGAAGCCAGGAGGGATTGTGGGGGTGAGGAAAGAGCCTTGGGTCTGGAGTGAGAGGCTTGGTTCCTGTCCCAGCTCTGCCACTGACTAGCTTTGTGATTTTGAGCAAGTCACATTACCTCTGTGAACCTCCGTGTTGCGGGAGTTGTCCTAACAGTTACCTTTGAAGGTGGTTGGGGACAGTCAAGTTAGATAGTGCTTTTGAAAGTACTTTGTAAACTCTAAGCAAAAGAAGGTCAGTTCTTAGCTCCTGGGAATGTCTGGGGAAGGGATACAGATAGCCTAAGGCAGTGGTTCTCAACCTTCCTAATGCCGCGACCCTTTAACACAGTTCCTCATGTTGTGGTGACCCCAACCATAAAATTATTTTCGTTGCTACTTCATAACTGTAATTTTGTACTGTTATGAATCGTCATGTAAATATCTGATATGCAGGATGTATTTTCATGGTTACAAATTGAACATAATTAAAGCATAGTGATTAGTCACAAAAACAATATGTTAGTATATATGTGTTTTCCAAAGGGGTCGCGACCCACAGGCTGAGAACCGCTGTCCTAAGGGACGACAAGCCCTTATGCTGAGCTCAAGCTCATGGCCTCTGTCCCGGGAGGCCAGGAGGGTCCCGGTTTCTCCAATTCTGGAACCCATTTCTGAGACACAGGAGGGCCAGTCCGGACCCAGTGTACCTGCAGCTGTGATGGAAGACCTGCGGATCGTAAGCTGTCTGAAGTCCGAGGCCTGCTGCACCCGGAAGGCCCTCAGATCCTCCTCATCCAGGGCGATGTCCCCGAGGAAGGCAGCTAGAGGGAAAGGAGAGGCCGGGTGCTGAGTGAGTCCTCCTACCCAGCACTGACAGCCCCAAGCCTGTGGGCACACCCCAGCCCCCACAGCAACTTTACTCCTAACCCTGAGGAAGGCGGGCAGTGGGGGCTGACTTGGGATCTCTTGGGAGACTCATGCTTCCTTTTTAGTTGGGATCCCAGCAAAACTGATGCCCAGCCCCTAGAGACCTTTAGCTCCAGGAAGACACAGTTATGTCATTTATTCCATCGTTCTTTCACAAATACTTAGTCAGTACCCACTGTGGGCCAAGCACCACTCCAGTGATTAGCAAGACAAATGAAGTCCCTGTCCCCTGGAGCTGACCTTCAACAACACAAAAGTAAACAAAGACTGAGTTTGAGAATTCCAGACGGTGGTGGGTGCTATGAAGGAAATAGAAGGTCAGATGATAGCGTGTCTACTTTATGGGCCCATCCATAACCTTGGCACTGTGCTGAGCATGTGGTAATCACTCCACAAACGCTGTGCCCATTATAATGAGGGGGAGATAGGAATAAAAAGTGGAACAGACAGGAACTTTAGGAAAACCAGGACACGTGATGGGAGCTTCCCAGCCAGGAGGAAAGGGGTTAATAGTTCAAGTGACTTCTATTCAGTCTCAGGGTCCCCTCTCTGGAGGAAGAAAGTACTGGGGGGAAGGAGCTCCCAGGGTTTCTGGAGAGATGGGCTAAATAGTCTATCTGCTTTTTGAGAAATTAGGGGCCAGAGGAAACAGGCCGCAGAGCTGAGCGCTCTGGAAGGAGCTCAGACCTAAGCTTCACGCAGGGCTGGGGTTAGGGGGGGGCGGATGCAGGAGGCGGAGCGGAGGGCAGCTTCCCTACAGCTCCACCCTGGCAACATCTGCTTCTCATCCCAGTGCTACACGGGCCTGGTGGGCAGCATGACACAAGTTGTTTTAACCTTGAGGCCTTGCACACACACAGGTTCCTCCTCCCCAGATGGCCAGCTGGGTGGACACACACACACAGAATCAAGATACGGGGTTCGTGCTCCTACAGACACAGGGTGACATCCACATTCATGCCCTCAGAGCTCCGCAAAGTCACAGGAACACCCCTGCACACATGACCAGTGCCCGCACCTCCCTGAAAGGTGTGCGGCACTGGATAAGGTTTGTCTGAGTGAAGCATTACGTTGCTATTCCTTGGGCCTGCAAACACATGCTCACAGATACACACTCTTCTGTAGCTGTGACCGAGAGCTGGATCGGCAGAGAGTGGGAGTGACTTGAGCAGTTATCGAGGTCAGCTCTCCCTTTTACAGATGCAGAAACTGAGGCCCAGAAGGGAAATGATTTAGCCAAGGCCATGCTGATAGACACTAGACAGGCAGGATTTATAGTTCAGGCCTCCTGGTTCCCAGTTCAGTGCTTACTGCACTCAAGGTCATTACTTTTGTAAAACCCATATTGTAAATACATATACACAAAAACAGACACTCAAACACACACACACACGACAAAAAATACACACACAGTCACAGACAGTCCCAAAAAACACACATGCACAAGCTCCAGCACACACAAACCAGCTCTAAGTTCTGAACTCATTAAGCCAGTAACAGTAGCGATAATGATGTCTGTATACTAGCAAATGTCTGTTGAAATTTATGTGGTGTTTTCCAGTTGACAAAGTACTTTCACAATAATGAATTCATTTAATCCTGGCCCACCCAGTACATGCCCATTAAGCCATACTCCACCCATGCACTTGCCTAGGAGTGTCCATTACAAACTCATGGAGAGATAACCTCCCTGACTTTAGAGATCAGAATACTTGGGCCTAAGAGGGGAAATGACTTGTCCAAAGTCACCAGCCCATAAATGACCCAGTATCTCTTCCACCACATGGAAAAGATTCTCTTATTAAAAATGCTACCCCTGGCTCAGCAACTGATGGGACAGCAACAAAAGACTCTTCTCAGCTGACATGCAAAGGTAGCCTTAGCAAGGACATGGGATGCGAGGTACATCCCAAGGGAGCAGTGGTGGGTTTCTACAGGCCAACATTCACACAGGCCCTCACAGGCCACATGAACGCCCCCAGACACTGCACTTCCAGGCTCACGCACCCACAGCCATGGACATCACCATATACACGTGTGCCTGGACATTTAGACTCCTCTTTGGGCGTAGCCACAAAGAGCAAGGGCTTTGGAGTCAGGCAAATCTGTCTTTGAATCCCAACTTGGCTACTTCTGGCTGACAAGTCATATAGACTCTGCTAAACCTCAACTTACTCTTATATTTAGAGGAGCTAATAAAGAATCTCTCTCCTAGGATTCATTGACATGAAAGAAGGCATGTAAATGAAGCACCTAGGACAAAGCCTGGAGCATAGTAAGCACTGTTAATGGACACTGTTACTATTACCCTAATAACAATCCCATAAGCTCCAGTTCAGCTCTCCACTTTCTGGGGGCACACGGGTTCACCCACAGGGGCTTCCTGGCTGAGTGAAGCCCGAGTGCTCAGAGCTGTGCTGGCCTGTGGGATAGGGGCAGTGAGGAGGCCAGTGGACAGGCCCTGGGCTGGCCACAGAGCTCGTCTGCATAGTCAGTGCCCTGGGGTGGGGATGTCATGGCTGAAGAATGCGTGGGAACTGTGGGGGCGGGGAGAGATGAGGTGGGCAGGAGAGCCTGATGGTCAGGGCTAGGCCTGAAGGCCCTGCCCCTTTGGGATCCCCACTGGGGACTCTAGGAAATCTGGATGCGGGGGAGTCCAGGACTCCTCTCCTCTTATGGAAAAAAAGCCCTGGGGTCAAGGTCAGGATAGTAGTTGTTTTGAACATGGAATCGAAAGTTTTTGTTTTGTTTCCTGGCTGTAAACCAGCCAAGGAGCACTCATGGCTGCTCCATCACTAGGTCTCAGGAGTAGGAGAGAAAAGAAGAGAGCCCACTGGATCCCATGTACCCATCCTTCAGGTTGGCCTCTTGACTTACAGGCTCTTCCTCTGGGGTGTGGCAAGGCACCTCTTTAGCGGGGGACGGAGAAGAGCTGTCTGATGCGATGAAACCCCAACATCGTGTACTGGGCATACACAGGTCCATCACACAACTGCAAGCTTCTAGCCGGGACAAGGCATGTTCAAACTCCCACAAATGCCCGTACTTAATCACAAGTGTCCACTATGCACAGGGGCATATTTGCACACACATGCACTCAGAAGTACACACATGGATAGCTGAAGAGAAGACTTGCCCACAAAACGGGCACATCCACAAATGTGCAAAAACACACTCAACCACTTTCCTGTGTAAGCCCTAGTATTTTCCTGCACACAAATAACTGTATGTGCATACCCCAGTTCCTCTGCCATGCCATCGAAGGAGAAGGGCACCTTTAGAAATAGTGTGTGGGAGATAGATAGGTAATTAGTCGATTCCTCTGGATATCCTTAGGAGGTCCTTAGCGGCCCGAGGAATAACATATTCTACTCCTCCCTCTTCCCCCCAAATCTCTGGAGAAACCAGACTATTTGAGAGTTCTTTCTCCCTGGCGAGTCCCGTTGGTTCCCCTCCATCTGGAGCCCAAGGAGATTGTAAGTCTTTTCCGCCTCCCTTGGGGCATGTAAAAGAGAAGGTGACTCAGGGGGCAGGGGCACAAGTGGGAACGTGATTCATTCAGAGTGTCTGGAGGGGGAATGTGGTCTGGCAACAGAAGAGACTGCAGCATCCTAAGCTTGGAACCTATTCCTCTGAGGCTGGGCCACGAGGCTTCCGGGGTGAGGGTGGTGATGAGGGCTGGTGAGCTAACGGCCCACCTCACCTCCCAAAGCAGACCTCTGAGCTGCCAGGTGAGGCTGAAGTGAGGCCCGCGCTGGCTAGGGAGCAGTGCCACGGTCTTCCCTGCTTATGGGAGCAACTGGGTCCCAATTCCTGCCTCCAAGTCTCTCCCAGAGCCCTGCCAAGTCACCCGGGCAGCCACATGGAGCTGGGTGTCTCGGGGAAGGACCCCCTTGATGGTTTGGCAACCTAACATATACGAAATCAGGACTTGCAATCTCCCTGGGCAAGAGTGAGCGAGCAAAAGGGGGGTGGGGGCAGTGCTCAATGGAACCAGCTCCCAGCACACACACAAAGACCAGCTCGGTGTCGTGCTTATTGCTCTGGTTTTGCCCAGAAGATCCAGAAACCTCTCCAGGGCATGAAGGGTCTTAATTTTGCCCTTACTGCAGAGTTGTGTGTGCAGTAAGGGCAAATAGTGTTGTGTCTGACAGTAATAGCAAGAGGTGACCTCAAATGAAGCAGCCTCGTTATCCTGAGAGATCGCAGGTGAGCCTGGAGAATGAATGGGGCTTTCATTCTTGGTCCTGTGTGTGCAAGGAGGTGGAGCAGGAAGAGGAGAGACCCGGAGAGGGTCGTGTGAGCAGGGGTAAGCAGGCACATCAGGTGCATCCAAAGGAAGGACAGGCATGCCTTGGAGATGTTGCAGGTTTAGTTCCAGACCACCGCAATAAAGTTAATACCACAATAAAGCAAGTCACACGAAAACTTTGCTTTCTCAAGGCATATAAAAATTACGGTTACACTATATTGTAGTCTATTAAGTGTGGAATAGCGTTGTGTCTAAAAATGTACGCACCTAATTAAAAATATTTGAATGCTAAAAAATGCTAACAATCATCTGAGTCTATTGGGAAAATGGCACTGACAGACTTGCTTGACATAGGGTGTCACAAGCTTGCAATTTGTTAAAAACACAATTATCTGCAAGGTACAATAAAATGAGGGATGCCTGCAGAGCCACCCGCAACCTGGAGGTCAGGGATCAGAGGGAGCAAGAGGCAGGGCCTGGCAGGAGAAACAGAGAAAAGAGCCTGGGGACCTGAGGGTTGAGGATGTGGGTGTGGGGTCTTAAGGATTCTGGGCGGAGGGAGGCAGGGCTACACCAGTCACACCCGGGAGGGAGGCCTGATCTGACCCTGATTCTTGGCCTTGTCAGACTCTTGGGCGCTCTCAACCACCCTCAGGTCTGGCCCAGCTCCCCACCAGCCTCACTTCACCCTGGTGTAGGGCTTTCTCCAGAACCCTTGTTTGAAGTTCCAAGTCAGCCAGCCCCACCCTAACATGAAATCTGAGACTAGGGATACAGCCCTCAGCCTCCTGCTGCTCTGAAAATCACTCCCAACTTCCAACTAGTAGTGAAATGTGTCAGATTGACTTCCTACCCATTCTTTAAGGCCTTGCTCCAGCCTGCCTCCTCCAGGAAGACACCCAAACCTTCCCAGCCTGCTCTGCTCCCCGTTTCTCCACCACCACCACCATACCTGGGCTGCAGGGGGGACGGAAGCTCCTTGAGCCTTGCGGGTCTTTCCCTCCAAGGTAGCACACACACCTCTTGGTCTGTGCTGTTGGTTACTCCCCATGTATTGTCCCCTCCTGGACAGCAAGGTCCTTGAGGGCAGGGGCCATACCTGACATTTCTCTGCGTCTCCCACAACTTCAAGCCCAGGGCCTGACACATACGAGGCATTCAGTAAATGCAGATCAATTGAGTGAATAAGTGACACAAAGACAGAGTTGGGGAGACACTCACTTTTCCCGAAAACCAAGCCAATCCGCTCAAAAAAAAAAATGAAGTGAGAGTGTGGGACACAGAAAACGGAGTAGACAGCCAACATTTATTTAGTGCTTATTTATTATTTATTCAGCGTGCGTTAAGCTCTAATAAGTGTTTGATATATGTTCTCATAGTTACCCCTTACCACTAACTCTGCAGAGAGGTGTACTGTCAGTTCCATTTTACAGGCGAGAAAAGTGAAGTTCACAGATGCTAATTAACATTCCCAAGGTGGTACATCTAATGAGCTGAGGATCCAGGATTGACAGCTAGGCCTACCTGCCCACGCTCTGTCCACTTAGCCTCACGCCCACTCGAAGCCCAGGGAGAAAGATGACAGCTAACTCGGCGGTTTACCCACAGCCCAGCAGGGGTGGGGGATGAAGGGCAGAGGGATTCGGTTTCTCTGTGGGAAGGGGTTCCTATTCTGCAGTTTTCTGTGATCCATCCACCCAAAGATTGGTCCCCAGGGTCAGGACTCCAGCAACCTGCTGCCCTCCCAACCCTGACGCCACACGCAGGCACTCCTAGAAGTCCAGGAGCGGTGCCACTCACTGCCCCTGGCTCTGGCTCTCTGGAGGAAGGCTGAAGTCAGAGGCAGGAAGTCAAGGAAAGGTTCTGGTATCTTATGCCCTGTGTGTTCTCTTTCCCAAGGAGCCTATTCAGGGTCATCGGATCAGGCAAAGAGCCGGAGTGCCTGGCCATCTGGTCACTGCTGGGGCAGGACCTCTCTGGGCCTAGCAGGAGTGAAGCGGTTACACAGTCTTCATGGACAAAGAGCACACACACACACACACACACACACACACACATATATATATACACACACATACACACACACACACACACTCCGGGCCCTGACCTCAGCTAATTACTCTCCAGTGTCTATGGCCAGAGAGAGCGGATATGCAGCGTCTGAGTTCTCTCTGCTTCCCCCCAGCTGGGCCTTGGGGAGCTCCTGGCACACAGGGGCAGAGGCAGGTCCCCTCCTGCACTGGCTTCTCTGACTTTGCATCGGGGCAAGCCCATAAAACAGCCATTTGTCTTGCCTGTGTGTGCGATTTTAATGTCCTCCCGAGCATGCTCTCTCTCTCTCTCTCTCTCTCTCTCTGGCCAGAAAAGTTTCCTGCGGGAGGAAAAGCCTCCTTGGCTGCAGGTTTCTCTCGGGACCCAGGGAGCTTGCTCCCAGGAATCCTCTGGGAAGACAAGAGGCAACGGCTTCCACCAACGGCCCAAAACTTCAGTCTGAAAAGTCCCCCAAACTTCCCCTCCCTCTCTCCCTCCTTCTTTTGTTCCCCACAGCATTGCCAACCAGGCAGCTCCAGCATTCCCACACCGGACCGTCCTGCCCCCACCC